AGTGCAGCTTCATCAACCACAATGCCTGTGATGATGGTCTGCAGCGAGAGGGCTACAAAAGTGTTGATCCCGAATGTCAAAGCATAGCACTCCATAGAGAGGTTGGATGCGATCTGAAATCTAAAAAGAGAAAGACCTTGTCATTTCTGACAAATACCTCAATACCTGAAATATGCTATATGCTTAGACCCCCATAGATATATAGACTATTTTGATAAATGATTAGTAATTTGGGCCACTTTTCAAGCACAAATCCTAAATATTTCCCGGTACCAGCTTCTTAAATGAGTAGTTTCTGTTTTTCTTTGTTGTATGTCTATGTAAATTAAATATGTTATGGGTTTTGGGATGTATCCAATGTATCTAATCCAAAACCAGGATCTTCCTTTTCATTGAGGAGGTGAACTTCAGGCTTTGTGCTCTGCTGTCCCTTTATCAGAAGGTAAACTCACAGTAACACTGCAGAATAAATGTTTAGTTGGAGGTATACTGCAGTGAACTTACGTTGTGATGGTGATGAGAAACATGTAGCAGGACTTGAATATGACATAACCAGCATAGCATGCCCAGATACTGCTGGTGAGCGCCATCAGAAACACTGCACCAGACCCTACAGCTGAGAACAACCCTAATGCCAGCTCTCCCCATACAGCCCAGGTCACCCTGATGTGGCCCACAGAGAACGCCGCTGCAGCACCTGGCCCACGGAGAAGAAAGATGACGTGATTAATCTGTCATTCAAGCAGACAACACCTCCACCATGGCATGTAAATCATTCATTAATCCCAACAACAACATTTCTTTCCTTGAACGTTGGTTCAAAGGGCGATGTGGCCTCTAAACAAAACCTTATGCACACACATCTCTGCTGGCCTCCACAGCACCTGGCTATTATGATGAACCACTTCGACCCTGCTCCTGGAATCAACTATCAGCAAGAATCAGAGAATCCATTACCTCCTAACTTTATCTCCTTAACTGAAGCAATTACTCTTCTTCTTCTCATGCAGAGCCAGGTTGAGCATAAGCCAACAGGGCCGTGGTTCTGCTAGTCCCTTTCAAAATCAATACGCATTTTCCATTTAATCAGGTATCCCATAAAACCAAGGTGCATGGTTGTTTTCTTTTAATTGCAACTTTTTATATGTCTGTGTGCCATCAGACATGGCAGCTTTTAATAGCATTGTTAAATTTAATTTTGCTCTATATAATGTGGCTGTGCTTCTGGATGGCCCTGTGTCAATTGAACTCCTGGTTCCTGGTCTGAATGCGGTGAACATCCCCTGCTTCTGTGAGTCCAAAAGAAACTTTCACTCTTTCATTAGATGTGTGCACATTATTCAGCTTTTATGTCCTGTTTAGGTGATAATGCTTTTGGAAAGGTGATATTTACGCGAAGGATAAAGCTGATGATATTCTATATGTTATTGTCAACAAATTTCAGGAAAAGCCAAAACCAATGATATGAGTCCACCATCTTTCAATACTATCTGACTTCGCTACCCTTTGGCATTCAGCCAGAAGCTCTTTATTTGCTATTGAAGAGCTTCACAAATGGGTAACACATCTATCCTTTTATTTAAGCTAAATCACTTCCTAAAACAGCTCCGTCCTTCGGATGAGACGTTAAACCGAGGTCCTGACTCACTGTGGTCATTAAAGATCCCATGGCACTTGTCGCAAAGAGTAGGGGGTTCCCCGGTGTCATGGCAAAATTCCCAAACTGGCTTTCAACATCTGGCCATCTAATGATCCCCGTAGCAACTGGCTCAATGTTTCCCTCCCTCTCTGCCTCAAGCTGATGTGTGGTGAGCGTTCTGGCGCTAAATGGCTGCCGTGCATCACCCAGGTGGGTGCTACACATTGGTGGTGGAGCCCCCCCCCACTTCACTGTGAAGCGCTTTGAGTTTTCATGATAAAGTGCTATATAAATGAAATGCATCGCTATTATTATTATTATTATATTACTGTAGTTTTTAGTCAAGACTATTCAAATAGGAGTAAATGGTGTTTGTGTGGAGCTATTTTCAGCCATGGATTGGGTGCGCAAGTGAGTATTTACGACAGCAGGACGGTTTACGTGGGACCGACTTGAAAATAAAAGTGCCCTCATTCATTGTAATGAAGGAATACCATCCAGTGCAGCAGTGTGCTTCATTGGTGTGTTTTTAATATGGCAAAGGGAATAATAGCTTCATATAGCAAGCTATATCATGTGATTTGTTGACATTAAGAAAATTATAGAATATTACCAGAGGTATCCTTTATGATGAAACTGAATAAGACTGAAATAGCTCAAGTATGATCTTACCAGAAATCAAAACCACAAATTATAGCTTTTCTCTTTCTCTAATGTTTTCTCTTTTACACACACACACACACACACACACACACACCTGCAACCAGTCTTACCCACAAGAGAACAAGCAGCCTCTACACCTCCATTGTAGATGGATGATGTGGCAGATGGTTCTATATGGTCCCACATCAGCTGGGTGTAGTTGAAAACCTGCACGTAGCCAGCTGTAGCCAGAGCCCACCACAGGGACCAGTATATTAAATGTCTGCATGGTGGACATTATTAAAACAGATTAGGATCATGATTGTAATTAGAAGGCTATTCCAACCTTCTAAAAGAGTACTACTATTTGAATTATATATTATTACATTATTAGACAAACACCACAATAAATAATAATTTAATTTGCTGCAGTAAAATCCATTAAACTATGATACAGGACAAAATGTGCAAAACGTGTGTGCTCAGCAGAACTGTACTCAAAGTGTGACGTGTTAAACAGAAAATAGAAAATGCCTGGAAGAATATGACTCCCTGAAGCTTTGCCAAAGTAGATGGCCCGCAGTGACCACATTTTCCCAGCTGCACCAGCAAGCATTGCCATTGTGCTCCATCTTCTCCCTGCCTGAGCCAGCGTCAACCTTATCCGTCACCGCTTCCTCAGACCCATCCTCTCCCAGCGGCCCATCCTGTTGGGACTGCGAGACCACAGCTGCTGCCTTTTTCCCTTTGAAGAAGAGGCTCCTTTGGGGCATGGGCAACCAGAAGGAGATGAGAAAAGCCAGGCTTACAATCCCCAGGGTGATAGCATTGATGTAGAAGTAGTCTACTCCTGTTGATTAGAGTTCATGCTTCATTAGTGCTTGCTCAAAATGTGAAGCATAATTCAGTGCAGTTTCGTCATTATTTTCTTTGCAGTTAATTTTGTTGTTTGAGACTGTATTAGGAGATATTTATTATCTGTATTGAGGAGTATTAATCTTAATGTAGAGAAAATAAAAATTTTCATTCAGTATATATTACAGGCTAGTATGCCTTACCTGCAAGGGAGACGAGCACTTGGCCCAGGCTGGCACCAATTGTATATCCAGCCAGCATGGCGCTGCGCAGGTAGCCAGTGGCTCTTTGGTAATTCTCAACTGGAATCACACTGTAAATGTAGGAAAAGTAGGCCACCTCTGTGGAAGTCACCACAGCATAGTTAACCTGTTGATGGGATGGAAAAGATTTTAAGAGAGATGCACAACAACCTATCTTCTTGGGTACCTGGGAAACATGATTAACATTACATTCAGCAGTTTTTAATCATTGTTAGCAGTGGACCTGAAGGAAGATCATAGCAGGCAGACCCGGGGCAAAGCTGAGCAGGATGTAGTTGGTGACCAGGAAGAGCCCCTGTACCATAATGAGGGGCTTATGCCTTAAAAAGTCAGTCAGAAGGAAGACGGGAAACAAGAAGGCGAGGTAGGAGTAGGTCCAGATAGGAAACAGGTAGTTGGTCACCTGTAGGAAACAAGAAGAACCAGAGAACAAGAATGCTGGTCATGCTTGGCCATCACATGCATTTCTCATTGTCTGTCATATCTGAAGAGCAGTTGGTCTGCGATATTAGCTCCTAATAAATGACAGTACTTGATGTATACAGGCTGTAGAGTAACTGTGTACATTACAGTGTGTATGTGTCTGCCATTCTTACCACTTCTCCAGAGATGTTCTTGTGTGGTCCAATAAGGTATGGTGTTAGGAAGGGCTCTGCTACTCTGCAGTTAGCAAAAAACCCATAGAGTGACAGGACTGCGGTGGGATAAGCCCAGGCGGAGGACTTCAACTTGGCCCAACCACCCATTCTTTTACCTCAGCAGAATTTCCAAGAGATCGTCTTTGGTTTGTATTCCCAGGAGCACTACCTGAGCACTTTGTTCTTAATTTGAAGTCTGACCACCTGGGCTATCCCTAAAGTGTAGTGACTGTTCTTGAAGCTATCGCTATTTATCAGTAGCTAGAAAATACAAACACCATATTTATGATCTGCTTGTTAGTTTAGATCCTTAGTTACAGTTTATGAGCGATAGACTTTGACCTGTTAGGAAACAAAAGGATAGCTGAGAAGTGATTCTTTCTTAAGGGATCAATACAGTCCTTTCGCCTGTAATAGATTACATCAAACAAGACATGAGACAATTTAACAGAGAGAAATTAAACTTCTCATTAGTTAGGCAGAGGCAGGTAAATTAACCCTGGGAATAAGATGACTCCCCATCTGCAGCATAAAGGCAAAAGCTATTTATTACTAAAAAAGTTATTAATAAGTGTTTCATCAACTAGAGCTAATTAAACATCTGTAGAAAGCAGTGATATAACATAAAATAAAATAAAATCACAGTCACCATATAGGCCTACAACTCAAACCCAAGTTATAAGGGAGTCTTCAGCAACTTTGTCATGACTAATTCATAGAACATTCGTTTAAGTCGTCGTATATTCCTCACATATCAAGGCATAAAATGACGTTACATAACTGACTTCTAACAAAAACTCTTGCTAAACTCAGAAATTCAGGCAAAAGCCTGAATTATGCAGGGGCCCAACATTACAAGTGGCACCTCTGGCAATATACTCGACTTTCAAGTGCTGGATAAGGTTGTTGTGTACGTAGTAGTACGCATGCGTAGTGAATGGATGCGGGCACGTGTTGCCGGTCTGTCGCCATAGAAACGGTTTGTTGATAGTTTACGTAACGTTAAAGTGGCCTGAATTCACAGCAATATGAAACTCAAGCGGTTCCTTCTCAGATATTATCCACCAGGTAAAACACATTATTTAAACGGTAACTTTACTTCTTTTTAAGGGAATATATCACTGCTTTAGAATAACATTTTCTGCTTTGACAACACCTTGCTGTAACGTTAACTCTAGCACTATAACGTTAGCTAGCTCTGAAAACATAATCCTGGTTAGCTGAGTTGACGCAACCGCTGCTTTTTAAAATCAGCCGATGTGAGTTGCTTTTCCTGGTTTAATACCTGTTTCTGCCATCAGGTATAATCTTGGAATATGACAAAGGAGGATATTTGAGGACCAAATCAATCGACCTTTTGGATTTGACTCCCGGGTGCGTGAGTTGTTTCCTGTATATACATTCATAAATTTAACGTTACAATAGAAGGTACAAGGTATTATATTTTTTATTGTAACGTTATTTATCATCTTACAACACACTAACTGAAAACTATGTGATGTCATAATAACCCTCTGTGTGAGTGTTGTTGCTTTTCATCTCTAACAAATACTGTCATTTTAATTACTAAACAGATCAGACATATCTCCCTTCCCTTAGCACTCATCATGAGGCTTGGTGTTAATCACCAGACTATCCTGCTGTTATTTAATGTTTCTGTATGACATTTTTTAAAATGATTAAGTTCTTTTTGATACCAGCACACTACAAATCAGTTTTCCCTTGTGGATAACAAAGTTAATCAGCTCAGCTCTTGTGGCACTCATAAGTGTACTTAAATCAACAAGAGGAGGAGGAGGGTTTGCTTCCCTGCATATATTTGGGTAAAGAGCCTCTTAAGCTGTATTTCATCTCCAAACAGTGACTTAATGGAAATAATTATTATTATTTTGCATGTAATTGTTCTCATGTTATCACTTTCTAAATTATCCGTTTAAAATGTGTTAAATGTGCAAATTTTCCCACCATGCAGAACAAACCCAGATGAGTTGTTGGCAGAAATCAGACGATCTGAGCCTCTGATCACAGAGTCCCGGGCTGATCAGGTCAAACAGCTGATCCTTCGACTTCAGCAGAAACAGGGCCAGCAGGATCACCACAGGTTCTGTTTCTTCAAGGTCAGACACTGGACTTAAACTTATATTGCTGGCCAGTAATAAATAAATCTACACAGTGGCGTGGCATCTAGATTCAATAAAGTAGCTCCTATTGGTGTACATTACAGTATTCCCATTCAGGGTCTCAGGACAGGTTGTAAAATCTATGGTATTGTTTTATGAAATAAGTGTAGAAAGCTCTTTGTTGCTTCTAGTGGTACAAACACTTTTGGCACACATATATTTGGCATTAGATTGAGGGACTAAAAAACAACAGCTAGTGGATTTTGCCTTCTATAAAGCAGTGTAACTATGTAACACACAGGCAACCGAGAAGATTTGTGGATGATGACGTGTTTGGCAACTTCAGCTAATTGAAGCAGCGCATTAGCTCCCAAATTTTTGCTCTTTGGGAATGTTATTTACATCTGTTGAAACTTAGGCATTTGGGTAGTGACATTAGCCAGTGCTCCAAAGAGGCACCAGAGAGCAGGTTAGGTTAGTAATTCTTAGAATTAAAAGCCAAGTTAGCGTGCCAACAGCCTAATAGCATGATAACAACTCATTTTTGTGTGGCTTGGTGTCTTATGGAGTACATACATAATTGGTAAGGGGTCAAAGTTGGTTACGTGGCTGGAGGTCAGAGGATATTGATGTTCTCTGCCTGTGTCTAAAACTCGCAAGACAGTCTGCATAAGGAGAGAAAATCCTCCCACCATTGGTGGGCCAGGAGAGAGAGGTCTTTACATTACATCAAATCAGAGTAATCATGATATATGGGTAATGTGTGGGACATCCTAAAGATGAATTAGGTAAATAACTTCATTTTCTTATCTTTCTCCGGTCTCTTTTGTACTGTAGGAGCTTAAGGCACACATACTGCCACTGACAAACATCGCCTTTGACAAATCAGGGTCAAGGTAGGTTTATTTGCAACAAATGTTTATCTGCTGGCCCTTAGGAGTTCAAGAAAAGCTGTGTATTTTTGTTGGTAATATTGTTCTTAACTCTTCTCTCGAACACTCTGCAGGTTTATAACTGGAAGCTATGACAGGACATGTAGAGTTTGGGACACGGCTGCAGGCACAGAGCTGTACACGCTAGAGGGTCACAGAAATGTGGTGTATGCAATTGCATTCAACAACCCCTATGGGTAATGAGATGCTCCAGCAAAACCTTCATTGCATCTGGGAAACATTGCTCTATTTGACACTCACATTAAGTATTTAGCCTTTCAGAGGGGCTTTTCATCATTTCTTCTTTGCTCTTTCTGAAACTTAGAGACAAGATTGCCACCGGCTCTTTTGATAAGACATGCAAACTGTGGTGTGCTACGACAGGCAAATGTTTTCATACCTTTCGCGGACACATGGCAGAAATAGTATGTATGATAATGGTTTGAACTTTTGTTTTTACTCAGTCATTGCTTCGTATGCCGTAGGCTATCGTACGTAGTATTTATGCACATTTTTATCCTGTGGGGCTTTAGCAAGGCCCAAGGCCAGCTGATCATTTAAATTGTACAGTTTAATGGTTTTACTTTGGTATCGTGTTTAGTGCTTAGATAATAAATGAGTCTGCCAAATCCCCTTTGGCTTTGGAGCAGAATCCAACTCCAGTGATTGTAAAAGAGAGTTTCGTACTGTGTAGGTGTGCCTGGCATTCAACCCCCAGAGTACACTGGTGGCCACAGGCAGCATGGATGCCACTGCCAAGCTGTGGGATGTGGAGACTGGGGAGGAGGTGGCCACTCTGAATGTGAGATTTTTTATTTATTTGTTTACTACCTTTATTCCAGTGCCTTTCTTGCTCTTTTTTCTCTGCTCCCAGGGCTCACATCCATTCATTAATAATGCATTGATTGACTTTTCATTCACTTCTATGGGTAATTATTCCTAAATTGAGCATGGTTACCCCTGCTGATGGCCTTTTCTACCCCACATATCCACCCTTGATCTGATGGGGAATATAACTGTTACTCTTTAATGGGGCACTGATTACCCATTCTGAGGGGAGTAGTTAGCTCTCTTTGATATGCAGACTGCACGGGTCCATGGTGTGACTGGTTGGTTGGCTGACTCTGTCTCTGTGAAACGCAACCCTCTGCAGCTCTCTCTGTTCTTTCGGTACTTTACACACCATGAAGAATCAAATCAAGCTTACAGCAGTCAATTGAGCGCTGAATCTTAAGCATATCCTCTCTCATATTTATTTATTTCATGAATTTAACAACCTAACTTTATAGCTTAAAGGGTAACTTTGGTGTTTTTTAACTTGGACCTTATTTTCCCATGTTTTCGTGTTAATGTGACTAATTGGGTCGAAATTATTTGAAATTGGTCCAGTATTGATGGAACACGCTGCAGTCAGCAGCATTGAAATAACCCATCAAAGTATGTCCACTAAAGTGCTTTGGCGCAATATTGCACTCGTCATGGCCACCAAAATAGTTATTTTATCTCATTGTCTCGATCAATTAGTTTGTGTTATTAGTAGGGATAGGGTTTCCCTCTGCTAAACAAGACACTGGCTATCCTACATGCACATGCAACATTGCCTTCACAGCTTGCCCACTGTAGCCACGGCTACAGGGTCACCACTCTGTTGGTCAGGAGTTAATGTATTTGTTATGTTTAACAAATGTTGTTTTTGTCATGTCTTTCAGTAATTATGATTTTTTCAGTACTCATAGTATTCCTATTTGACAAACACCCCCATAGCTCTAACTTAACTACACACAATAACACAAAAGCTTTAACAGATTTAAGTGAGCAGTCCCATCAAAGCAGAGGAGCCAGTTGCTATGCCTGCAAAACAGAAAGGATGCAGCTTTGGCAGTAATCTCTGCCTCACTGATGTTTCTAATTAAACAAAAAGGATCTTACTCTTTAAGAAAAGGTCTGTCTCTGTAGGGATCCTTTCCACAATGTTGTCTGAAACTCATTGTAACAATCTGAGGCTGTCAGTGCCAAAAACAAGCCCTTTAGTGGACATACTTTGACGAGATGCAATTGCCCACAAAGATTACGTTGTGCCAATTAGTCACATCAACACAGAAACATGGTAAAATATGGTCTGAGCTGCAATATACAGAAGTTAACCTTTAAAGGTCCAGTGTATAATATTTAGGAGGATCGATTGACAGAAATACAATTTAATATACATAGCTATGTTTTCAGTGGTGTATAAAGACCTTAGAAATGAATTATTGTGTTTTTATTTCCTTAGAATGAGCCATTTCTATCTACATACACCACAGGTCCCCTTACATGGCCATGTTGCGGCACCATGTTTCTACAGTAGCTCAAACAGACAAACGGCGCTAGAGTGCGTTTCTTCACTACACTGAATACGTACAAAGAAGAAGAAGAAGAAGAAGTAACGTTAGTAGTAATAACAGTCGTCCGGTTTATTAGAAGTAAGAAAAGAAGAGAAATTTTGACAAATGGAGGCCCACGCATATTATTTAGCACAAGAGCCTACAGAGTGTGCCGGCCGACACGCGCTTGGAAAGGGAGGGGTGAGCTGTGATTGATGGTGCATTCATGTGGTGTCGGAATAATCAGAATCTTTTTTTCTTCCTTAAATCTTTATTGCAAAAAGATAAATAAAGTGTACATGGGATGTAAAGAATTATACAGAGCTTTGAATAATGCAAAATCATGTATTGCATACGTATTTACAAACATCTAATTTGTAATATGGTTATAACAGTTAGTTTGCTGTCCATGTAGAGTGAACTAGATGTCTGTGTGTAGTTTATATGCTCTGAAAATGCTTATCCAACAAATTAAAGAAAAGAAATGAGACAGTGAGGGATAATATGCTCTCTTTCTGATTTCATCCAGGGTCACACTGCAGAAGTCCTCTCTCTGTGCTTTAACACTGTGGGAAATCAACTTGTCACTGGCTCCTTTGACCACACAGTTGCTATATGGGATGTTGCTTCAGGAAGGTCAGACATCATCCTTGTTATTGCACTGTAGGCATCTATTTGTGCATGTGTGTCATCATTTATACTGCACAGTGCATGCATAACACCTATAGATTCTGCATACAAGAGTGCACAAATGACTCACTGCTGCTTTTTTTGTTTTCCTCAGACGTGTCCACACTCTGATTGGTCACAGGGGGGAAATCAGCAATGTTCAGTTTAACTGGGATTGCTCCCTCATAGTCACAGGCTCTATGGACAAAACTTGCAAGGTGAACTATCAACAGCCCAGACTTTTTTGTGTGTGTTTTTTATTTATTTAACTATTTCAAATACAAGTATTTTGCCTAAACATCTGTTCACATCTGTTCACTGGAATTAGATTTTTTGCCCACAGCAACAGTTTGTCGTTCATTTAGCACTTTAAATTATGCAAGACAAGTTATGTAGATGGATGGCTCTTGTCATTCACATTCACCCTCCTCCCTCCCCTCCACCCCCCTCCCTGTTACTCCCCACCTCTTGTCTCTAAGGACTCCATCATTTACAGGAGAAAATTTAAATCCTAATTTCTTAATTATGCCAAGATGAGTCATGCTCACAAGTAAGAATTATCCAGCTCGCTGCATTCCTCTAGGAGGGATGGTTCAAATAAAGCCACTTAGGACAGCCAACAGCTACATGTGTGTCCTAGTTTTTGTGTTTCTGTGTTTCCTGTCTGTGTATTTATAATTATAGTGTCAATTAGAGTGTTATGTGTGTGTATCTGCAGTTGTGGGATTCAGTCAGTGGGAAGTGTGTGGCCACCCTTGTTGGACACAAAGAAGAGGTGCTAGATGTGTGTTTTGATTTAAGCGGTCAGCTCATTGCTACTGCGTCTGCTGATGGTGCGTATTATTCGATTTTTTTATGTAGACAAACTAATTCATTGTGTTATTTAGGATTTTTTTCTAATTTTATCCAGCAATTGTATATTGTTTTGATCACATGCAAAGTCCTCCAGATGTTTTAATTTTGCTGGTGTCCTGAGGCCTAAATTTAACAAAATCAACATTTTGACATGTAGCATGCATGCTTGTAGCAAACACCAACAACCCTGCCTGTCCCTGTTTCTGCCAGGTACAGCGCGAGTGTTCAGTGCAACCACAAATCAGTGTCTGGTGACTCTGGAGGGCCATGATGGAGAGATCTCCAAGGTAAGTTACTGGACCAAAAATGACTTTTCTGCCGTAGCCTTTGAAAAGGAATCTTATGTCACTATAGAGACCCACAGTCTCAGCCCATTTGCAGGTTAGCTTTTGGTTCAGTAGCCTCTGTTCCTTAATGCAGTTTTGTATCACGTTTTTTTCAGTATTTTGTCTCTCTGATAAGATAAATAGGCATTTCTGTTATTCTAACTTCTAAATTTAAACCCCTCATTTTAACAAGGACATAACAATTTAACATTCTGATATGAACTATTAATATACCTCATTAGATTAGAGGGAGAGTTGTAAAGTAACAAAATCTTTGCTCATGTTCCAGCTTCTCACAGTCATCACATGATGATGAAATGAAGGCTTGTGTTTATGGCGAGGAAATTAAGAGGAACAGCATGGGCCACATCTACTTCCTGTCAACATTTGAAATTAACAGACATGGCAACAGGAAATCACATTTTACCCATTTATGTTCCATGTTTGAAACTGTAATTAGAGCATCATCTCCCAGACTTGTTTGGGAGTAAGTATTATTATTTTTGTGTAACGTGAACTCTCTAGCTGCAGCTCTTCTGGACAGTGTTGTAAATAGGACATCGCCTCTTCTTGCCTTGTTAACATGGGATAAAGCGTGACGCTGAGGTGCAGGGACAGGAGTCCAAGCTTCAGGCTGTTTTGTGCTTACTGTGTCACATGGTACAACTGGGCAAGTAGGCCATATGACTGAAGTGATGTTTCTGTCCATAATAATAGCTAATTGAATCTTTGGGGTCCAAACTAGATTGTGTGCAAATACCATCCGTCATCCCTGACCATAAAGTGAGCGTGGCACCTTGTGCTACTACTAGCCTTTGAACAAAATGTTTCACACATCCTCAAAAACAATTAATCCAATGTAACTTAGCCTGCCATTAATTGAGTCAAACCAACACATACCTTGACATAAGGTGTGTGGGTTTTTTTATGCTTTGCATTTACCTTATACCTTAATGTGAGTGATTTTATCTGTTTTTATTTGTATTTTTCCGGTGTGTGTGAGGGACTGGGAAGCTACCTCTGTTTACTGAAACACATCAGGCAGTCAGTAATAAATAGGCTGGATGGGGGATCATCGGTCGGCCAGTGCATCTTTTAAGGTTTCAAGGATTGAGTTTTACTCACTGCACGTCCTCGCTCGCTTCCGTTACATTAGCACCTAATGCACCTCATGTAAAGAGGGCTACGGTTATGGTATGGGTTTTACTAGGCATTTTTCTTCTACCGACAAGATGGTGAAGGTTAAACAGCTTTCTAGCATACCACATGCCCATGGCTACGATCTCGTGACTATGTGAGGAAGGAGAGACTGAAGCGATGGTGGACACATTTACAAACACACCTTTATGACCAAACATTATTGCCCAGATCATGCATCCTTTTTCTATACCTTATCTATGCGCAGAGCAAGGGGGCATGCACAATGGTGAAACTGATGATGACGCCATTTTAATAATTTAACTTAATTTGGAGATTTCATTAAGGGTGATGACTGTCTGAAATTTCTGCCTTGAAGCCAACACAGATGCTTTAAAAAAAAAAAAAACTTGGAATCACCAGTTCGACTTTTGAAGAGGATAATGACTCTTTGGGTAGATTTACAAAGAAAGAGAAAATGATACCTCAGTTTACATAAAATACATCAACAGCACACTCTTTTGTAACTTTTGCAGTGTGTAACCACTATTTAGGAAATGAGGTTAGAATTAATATGTCATTTAGACTTGGTATGCAGCTTTAGTTTTGTTTATTTATACCTCCTTCTTGTTGTGTCCTCTTTTCTTCTCTTCCCTTTCCATTTTAAACTGTTTGTATTCCATTTCTGTACCTGTCACTTTCATCTTCTTCCTCCGGTCTTCTATCTTTGTCTGTTTCTTCCCTAGTCAGTGTCCATTTCCTGTCTAGGGTCACTCCTGGGGTACTCAGTTTTGAATTTTAACAAAAACACACTTTACTTTTATGGCCATCTAGAGCCAGCTTCATTTAATAATCTCTTCTTTTACCTCACTATGGGGATCCAAAACCATTCAGGGAATGATGAATCTGGGATCTAATACAGTCAGCGTTAGCCGTGATTTTCATTATGCTCTACTAGAAAAACTCTTCAATAACTAGTGCCACCGGTTCCTTAGTCCTCATTAAGTATTTAAAGTTGAATGACCTCTGTGGAATAATGCTGCTGATGTAGTGAAAGTGTTCTCCCTCATTTCCCCCTCCCACTGTCATTTCATCCACTTCTGCTATAATCTCTTATTCAGCACTCTCTCTTGCTCACTCTATCGCTCATGTAGCATACACTTCTGAAGAAAACTAACTCTCCTGACTCTGCCTCTCTTGGTAGATCTGTTTCAGCCCGCAGGGTAACAGGGTCCTGACTGCCAGCTCGGATAAGACAGCTCGCCTGTGGGATGTTCAGTCTGGAGTCTGCCTACAAGTCCTGGAGGGGCACACCGACGAGATCTTCTCCTGTGTCTTCAACTATGAGGGTGACACCATCATTACAGGTATGCACTGCTAAAACCGTCACAAAAGCTTAATTGTACTTTTCAGATGAAAAGCGTGCAGCTGTGTCCGTCTGTGCAGCCACCTGTTCGTGTTTGTGCTCTCCTGCAGGCAGCAAGGATAACACATGCCGGATCTGGTACTGACCCCTTCCTTTGAACGTGTCAAGGCTCCAGCAGGCATACACATGGACACAACAGTCAATTTGTGTTTACCACGTTCGACCCATGTACATCTTTGGAATTGTGGGTTACCAACTGAAAAATCTGCAGGTAAAAATCTGGTCTACAGCGTCTGTGTAAGGTTAAAGTTGATAACAAATCATTATTGCTTGACTGTATAACTTGTGTCTCTAATGTTCACTTATTCCCTGACTGTACTAACTTTGTACTGGGTTTGGCCATTAGACCTAGCTATTCAGTGACTGTGGCGTTAACAGTAGGGTAACATTGCTCCTTAAATGTCATCTCAAGTAGTTTGAATTCAACTTGTTGTATTTGTTGCAATAGCTAGACATTTTGGGGCATAGGCTTTCTTGCTGGAAGTGTCACTTTGATGTCTGTGTGGCAAATTTGGACATAAATATTTACACAACATAACTTGTTTTTACTTTTCTGTTTGTGTTGCGACTTAAACAACACGCTAGGAGCTAGCTGTTTCACCCTGCCTCTAGTTGTTATACTAGGTTAAGCTAATCATCTTCTCACTCTAGCTACCTATTAAAAGCAGACAGACACGAGTGGTCTCAAATGTCTCATCTAACACTTGGCAAGACAGTAAGTAAGCATATTTCCCCAAATGTCTGACTTGTTCTTATACTTACACTAGCTTGTTATAAAAATAAGGTCTGAACATGATGTGTAACGATAACTGGTTCTAAATTAAGCTGTGTAGAGAGAGTGTGAGCTAGACTCCATAATCTGAGCTGTAAATATCTCACATTTAGTTTCTGTTCCAACATGCTGCAGTAATAAAAACCTTTATATTTAATCATATTCATGCATTGCATGTTTGAATAAAATCCCACATTATTCAGTAGCTCCCTAGCTGATATTGTGAAGAACTTCCCCAAAGATTACATGGTTGTTGTACAGTCTCACTGCATCTGTGCATCAGGCAATACTAATGTCGATAAATGTGCTACAAACCAGTGTTCAGTTGCCTTTCTGCTGAGTGTTACAAATAATAAAGACTGCCATTTTTTCACATCACAGAAATGTATTGATGTCAAAAGATAAATACATTCAGTTCTACCGTGACAGAGTTTACAGCTGAATCATGTGCTTTTTTTCCCACTGCTGATTTAACACTAGAGTACCACTAAGTAGAGAAATAAACAGACCAAATCCACATACAAATTCAACATTACAAACCTTACTCTGTCTTCCTGACATAGTAAAAGCTAGAGAGAGCAGTCCACTACTCCAAGGTGCAGCAGTTCCAAATCTACAGTATATACAGTACATCTATCCAAAATAATCAGTTCTCAAGTAACATTAACAAGATAACACACTTAGAACTGAATTTCAAGGTCACAACAGAGATGGCATGTAGGCCAATGAACACAACAAACGTGAATATTTTGCTTACTTTAAGCAAATGCGATCTTCTAAGTGACCATTATAAGAAAGTGAAAGAGCTTTTTTTTCTGGGCTTACGTTTCCTTACAAAGCCTCTTTTACAAAGTAGTTTTGATACAAAAGGTTGGCGCATGTTGAGTTGTGGGGAGAATTAAACCTGATTTTCCTATCTTCTATTGGTACTTTGCTTCATGTGTGTACATTTGGAATAAACAAATAAATAAGCACATAATTTGGTTGTGAGAATCTGTAAATATATATTTATATATAATCTGGAGCAGTTAAAACCTGCTGACTATAATCTCTTGAAGGCTGTTTCATTGCCATCAGGAAGGTCCAACCCGTACACCTACAGTTTGCTTGCTCTGTGTTTGTGTCTCACTAGAGAAGTGAATCTGAAAACAAAAACATGCTTTTATTAAAGGGAGACTGGTCTATTCATGGCTAGGAACAGACAAAAAGACCCAACGTCCGTGGACAGATTGTGGTGTACGAGTTTCTCAAGCATGCTGATCGCATTTATGCCTTCAGCTTGCAGCAGAGACACTTGGTGGGTGAGACAGGATGGGGCAAACAGTTGGGGACATTTTAGAAGTGTGAATGAATGAGTGAGCATGTGTGTTTTTGTTTGCAGTATGAGGAGGCTAGTCCGCCCTACAGGGTCTCCAACAGCCAATCAAACAGGCTGGAAAGAGACCGGCCCTCCTCTTCCTCTTTCTCGTGTAGTTTACAGAACTGAACCACAGCGCTGAACAAGTCCGCAATCCGCCACGCCTTCTGAGACATCAGATGGACTACCCTCTGGAACTGTGAGAAGACACACACGTAATGAATCACTAAACACTAAATGCATGGTCATCAACATCAGCACTTTGCTGACTAATGGAGAGATTTACAGGAACTTTTTCCAAAGTTATCTATGTAACATAACAATTGCTTAAATATTATCTAACAAGCAATGACAGGTCAAATCAAATGCCGTTTTTCCATTACCAGTACCAGCTCAACTTGCCTCACCTTGACTCGACTCGGTTTGGCCTTTAGCAGATAGTACCCAGAGATGGCACCCCTCAATGTAGCTGGTCATCCTAGCGGCGCCACACACAACTGCCGCAACGTAATTTTCAATGCGGCACACACCAGCGACCCACACTGCTTTCTCTTTATTTAAGCTAAAACGTTTCAACATTACTATTAGAATGTAAAGACAGATAAGCGGTAAGAAAACTGCCGTTGTTGCTGCAGCGGTCTGTGTGACAGTGGGACCAGAGGGCTCTGTGAGCTCCTCCCGCGGACTTGCAGAGCTCCTAAACACCGAAAACTTTCAAGTTCCGCCATCACTTCTCGTAAAACTGTCAATATTCGAAATCTACACAGTTGATTTCTCACCTTAAAACTTCTCAGAAGTGGATTTTGGTGATGAAATAAAGTATGAAAATTGTAAAATATAAAACTTTCTGTTGCTGGCCTCTGTCAGGCGCGCACAATGATGACGCAGTGAATAATGATGATTCTCTCTGAACAATCAGTAGTCTGCTGTGTTTTCACGTCACATTTTAGTATCGCCTCAGCTCGCTTGGAACCTCGACAGAGGTGATACGCGTGTCGAAGTGTCCTTGGGCAAGATACTGAACCCCGAATTGCCCCTGGCGGCTATTCCGCCAGTGTATGAATGACTGTGAATGTTAGTTTCCGTTTGAGCACTTAGGCTCAGTGTATGACTGGTGAATGCAGATGTAGTGTAAAAGCGCTTTGAGTGGTCGAAAAGACTAGAAAGGCGCTATACAAATACGGAGCATTTACATTTACTTTTCCACAATGGAAAACCAAACAGGCGAGTCGAGCTGGTACCATGCATTGGAAAAGGGGCTAAACACTTTCGGTATAAACACACAACTTTGTGTTCGGTAAACACACAACTTTGTGTTCGGTAAACACACAACTTTGTGTTCGGTAATGTCAAACAACACCAACAATAAGGTAAGAGAGACAATGACCTTCTAGCCTCAATATATTGAAACTGTACTACTTTAGGCCAACAAAAGAATAAATAAATAGAGCACTCATAATTTTGTGCATACATGTTACCTCAGTATCTGTAAAATCTTGTCTACGACCTCCCCCCCTGTGTTTATGTTTTTTGATTTGACAGCTGTGCCTACCTTCACAACCCTCTTCTCTTTGGACTTCCTGAAGTATAGAGCAGGAAGGCCCAGCTCGGAGGCGGCAATCCACTGTAGGGCCACTCTCAGCTCCGAGTCCACGCACTCAGGCTCAAGGTCGCAGTTTACCACCAACAGCACCCTGAGGTTGCTGCTGCCGCCTGTTGTCCTCGCTGAACTGCTCTCTGAAAAATCAAAAGTGACGGGACATATTTTAGTAGGAGGTTGTCCATAATTTCATTCTCTATACTTGCTCGGACATGAAAAGCCAATGTGCCAAACCTTTTGCACGCAATCATACAGTACGTTAAACTTCAAACAGAAATATCCAGGGCTCAGTCTTGCTTTGAGGTCATCTTTGTTGGAGTGTAAGTCATTAAACAAAGATGAACTTTGTGTTGAGACACTTCTGGAATGATAGTCCCTTTTCAATTATTGATGATCATCCTTATTTCAGAGAGCAGAATCAAACCGCCTCCATTCAAGCACATCCATTTGGGGGATTAATCACACAAACCCAGCACATACTGTACCTTTGGTCACTCAAGAGCTCTTGGTGAGTAGAGAGATGCAAAAGGTGAAATAATTAAGGCACTGATAACACTGAGATGACATGAAAATCCATCGCTACACTTACCAAAGATATTCCCCTTGGTTCCTGCCAGATGGCCTTTCTCTGTCTCCTCACTGTGGGGGGAAAAAATGCCATTTGAAAGTTACGGTATCATCAACATTTTGGGAACTACGCTTATTCGTTCTTGCTAATGGTTAGATATGAAAAAAACAGCTGCTTAGCTTAGCATAAAGACTGGGGGAAACAGCTAGCCTGATCGAAGGTAACAGAATTTGCCCATCAGCACCTCTAAAGCTCACTAATTAACACATTTTATCTTGTTTGTTTAATCAGTACAAAAACAGAAATAGAAGAACACACTGGGGTTTTATGGGGAGTTATGTGCCAGACTATTTATTCTAACTTAGTATTTCCTAAAATGTCTATTACTATTTACTATCTATTTCTTTAGTGCAAGTATATTGTAATACATATATATATATATATATATATATATTATAATACACTGTTAACCTGAATGTGTTTATTAATTTCAAAGTTAAGATAGATATGCAGGTAGAATAGAACAGAACACAAGAAATGCTGCAGACTAGGGAGGCTTTTATGTCTATTAAACAGGACATCATTATCTGTGCTAGAATGACAGCAGAATATGTAATTAGCAATAATCTGTCATGTGCGTGAGTGTTAGTCTGACAGCCTGTCACAGTCACATGCCACCTGATCTCTGCACCCTGGGTGAGAAAATGAGCAAAAGCAATATACTGTCTGCAGACTTTTTGTTGTATTAGAGAAAAAAAAGGCATTATGGGCATCAGAGTGACAAATTAATGAGAAATATTTCAGCACCACCTTGTGACACTGATAGATACCTGATTACTGTGCTCGTAGTGGGCACGTCAGAAAAGGCATCCAGGTCTGCCAGGCCTAGGCTGGATGCGCTGCTGGTCCCGTTCCTGGTAACCAGTAAAAAACAAGAGATAGTGTCATCCACATGGTGTCTCAAGACACCCGACATGATTGCTGACTTGTGAAGAGAACAATAACCAGGCGCAGCGATGCAGGTCATGTTGTTCATTAGCTTATGATTAGCATATAAATAGCAGCTGCAGCAGAATTGGACGCTAAAGGTGGGAGAGCTGGTGATTTTTGTCCAGCAGCAAGCCTGTCTGAACATGAAGATGAGGAGATTTAGAGGTAGTTTAGGCGGGTAGGGTGGACAGGCAGGGCTGGCAGCCATGCCCTTGTGTTACAACATGGATCGTGGGAATGAGGTGGAATTAAAGTAAGCAGGTAGATGGAGAGGTTTCAAGGAGCAGTGAGTGTTATGGTGGTGCAGACAACTACCCTTGCAGTTGAATTAAGCAAAAAGCAAGTATCTTATATCACTGCCACACTAAACACATGGAGCCATACAGCTTCCCCTTTCCTCTCTAACCCACACGTTTCTTTAGAAATAAATGTATTTTAGTAAGCAGTTTATAATGCTTGCTTCGCTGTTTGTAAAATAATTTGGTCCATAAGTTGTTTTAAGGCAAAGTGAAAACAGGGCCATTTCTAAAGTTAGCTTATTTCAACTAGGAAGCACAGAGCAGTGAGTCTAGGCTGTTTGGTATAAGTTGAAAAAGTCAGCATGGTTAGCTAAAAGAAATGAGAATTTGATGAAGCAGAGAATGGTGTAGCAAATGTTCTGAACTAGAGGCTTTTGATGAGCGAGCTCACAGCACTGTACCACTGCAGCTTACTGAAGGTAGTTGTGTGTGGGGTGCAGGCAGGGTCTAGCCCTTTATGCGAGCTGCAGTATGGAGAGGGCTTTGTGGAGTGAGCTCTCTGCCATATACTGCCTTAGCAGGCGTGGATATAGCAGCAGGGAGTAAATTGGCGTTGGCACAGGAGAGCACAAGTGTCAGTAGCAATGGGCCAATGAGAGTGGGGTGAGGGTGGGAGTAGCAGCGTTTGGAGCAGTATCAAGGAGCAACGGTTACTGACCCCTCGCTCAGCTGGATAAAACTACTGGTCTCCTCGTGGGGGTCATCTTCGGGAGTTATATGGGACCAGCTCCCCATGCTCTCTTCACTGCTAGCACTCATAGAACGCTTGTCCCTCTTCACTACTGCAGCCACCGCCACAGCTGGCCTGTCCCTCTCACTGCTGGGGAGAGCAAACCGCAAGATGGTGGGAATGACCATCGACTAGTTGTGTGTACAATGTCTGCTGCAATGTGTGATAACTTTGGCTGTTTTCCCAAATGTTGTTCCCATGGTCCTCAACTTGACATAACTTTGCACCGCATCAAAAGAAAGCTAATTCATTTCAGTATCTTTAATGCATCAGCAAACTGCGACCCTCCGGGGGGCACTGTTGGAATTTCGGTGTTTTTCAGGAAATATATTAAATTAAGTCATAATCAGATGATTGAGGGCTGCCATCCTCAACAATTCCAGAGGGACATCAGGTTTTATTGACTAGGTAAGTGATTGGGTTCCACTCTTACACAGGGGACAAACAGAATCCCTCCCTTCCTGGATTACATGTATTGTCAAGTGGAAAGGAGCGTGTCCTGTGACTCTCCTGTGGCCTAGGAGCCTTTCAGCTGTTTTCCTCTCATTCACTATTGCACAAGTCTCATTTTGAAGATCTACATTTCTTTAAAACACACAATAAAATACTAACACGCAACTGATTCCCCACATCCGGATATTATATTTTCACTTTCCTCTATATACCTCTCTTGCACATTAACAGCTCTTTCCACTTTACATTTTCAGCACGTTCATTTGATTCCACACTGATACGCACTATGAACTGCTTCAGTCTTCATTACCCCCAGAGCATCCACTAAAATGTGTTCTGGGAGAGTCTACGCTTGCCGAGTCCTTGTCTTGCTAAAATGTCAGTCTGGTTTGAATAAGACTGTAAGACTGATCATGTCGAATAATGTAATAATCAGAAGGACTACATACCCTTATTACAAATGAACTGACTTCATTTAAACACCATTATTCTGCTAACCTGCTGCCAAACAACCTCTCTCAAGCAAGCTTTAATCTCCCAAATTCCTTGTAATTTTCGTTGTGTCAATGTAATCTAAATACCTGAGATGAGAGCGTTGTGGTTTTAGTGTGTTAGCCAAGAGTGCAGCTTGTACTGATCAAGGTGAGTTGAACAGTCCCACAGTGGATAAAAGATGAAGCCACTAAAAGCTTTCTGCACACACAATACATTATCCAGACAATGCGAGTCACATCCTAGCCAAAGGTTTGTCAAACCTCACACACTGCTAAAATAGATTAAATTTCCCACTGAATGGATCCTCTGTGTGCCTGCCACACTTTGATCAAACTCTAAAAATAGCTTTGGAATGATTGGACAGTATGGAAGGTAAGGTCTGGATTTCATTTGTTTAGTGCTGATTTTTCAACTTTGAACATTAAAAAATAAAATTAAAAACAACCATGTGATTCTTCATTTCTCACTCTCACTCTTGTCCGACAGATTAATCTCTACTTTTGACATCTACAGTATGATGATTCTGCTGCGGGGCTATAAAAAATCTTTCTGCCTGAAGGAGGGGTCTGAGTCTCAAACAAAAGGACTTTGAGCAGTGTAATACCTGCCGCTGCTGGCTGTAGCTCTCTCTGTACGCTTGTTAGCTGACATGTCTGGGGATGTTTCCTGAGGTCCTCCTCCTGTCCTTTCAGGGTTTAGAAGTTCATCCCTCTGATCTCCCTCAATGTGGATCAGCGGCACATCTCTGGGGCCCCTCATTCGGGGTGCACCGCTGTCACTAGTCCCGGACCCTACTCCAGTGCCAGTTTGCTCCTGGCTGGACCTAGTCCGACTACAACTTAGATGAGATTGTTTGAACCCTCTCCGTCTTTCACCAACAGGCATGTGTGGCTGTGAGAGCAACCCAGATGTGCCCCCGGCTACATCTTGCTGGGCCCCCAGAGCAGACTTGCCAATATCTACAATGTCAGCTGCCAGGCGATTGGCAAACTGCTGCACATGGGGCTGGGGATCTCCTGGAGCCTCCAGCTCAATACTGTCCTCTGAATCAGCAATGATCTTGTTCTTTCTCATCAAGGACTCAATGGAGCTCGACCAGGTCTCATGAATCAGCATATCAGTAATCTGGTCAGTTTTACCCCTTTGATAGAGGCAGGAGTCTGATTTACACAGTCCAGTTGCTGACACTGAGTTGGTGGGGAAGATGTTCAGCGTGTCTCCATGCACATTGCGGCCAAATCCATCAAAAGAGTTGGCTTTAATGGGTGAGTTGACAGTCAGTCGTGAGTCTGAGGAGCGCCGATCAGGGACAGAGGACTGTCGTATACAGAAGGGTGTTCTAGGAGAAGGAGGGAACAGGCTGTTGCTCCACTCTTTAGTCTTGGCAATGCCATACTCTTTGTTTTCCTTATCCATGTCCCGAAGCATAAACCTGTAGAACTCCTCGGTGATGCTCTCTGTGCTAGACTGTTTGGACAAGCAGGATGAGGTCCTGACATTAAGGTGACCATTTTTCTTCGAGGCAGCCTGTTGCACTGCTGCAGCCAGAATGTTGCTGGCATTTTTCCCAGCGTAGTAGTCCAGCAGAAGGTCAAAGCCCCTGCCCTCTGTCTCCATCTGGTTTACCATAAATCGTGAGAACTCATCTGTGATGCTCTCACAGCTGGACTGCTTAGATATTGAGCTACCACGGCTCAAGTTCTGACCTAACCTACTGCCAGGGCCCAGGGTGTTGGGTGTGCCTGACGGGTCTGCGTCTTCTTCAGGAATACTCTCATAACTAGATGCCTTCCCACGGCTCCACCTCTCACACTGCAACCTGCTGCGTGGCTGGCCTGTTTTGGAGGTATCCACCACATTAAGCTCAGGGCAATTCATGATCCTAGCGGTGACTTCAGAGGCAAAGAGGGCAAATGGGTCCTGCGGTTCATCTGGGTTGACAGATTCGTCCACCACTCGGTTCACAAGCCGCTCCATCAGCTCTGGCTGCTCCTCCGTCTTCCTCTTGATCTCACTGAGGCGTGGTGCCCGATGTTTCTTGGAAGCAGCATTGTTGCTCTGACCTTCTTTCCTTCTGAGGACTGTGCGGCAAGCAGGGATCAAGTAGGCTTCTGGCCCTTCAGTTGACGTCCCTTTCAGGGCACAGAACCAGGGTTGTTTCCCACTGGAGTTCTCCAGGCAGATGGCTGCTAGTTCTGTGGCCATAGACACCACTGTAGCAGCCAAATCATCAGCATAGCAAGTGATAGGTGTCCTGGACTCTGAGTCCATTCTCAAGCAGAGCAGAGAAGTGCAAGAGTTTAAGGAGGACTGGGGTGTGAGGGAGGCCTGTCGTCCCCTCTTCTCTGTGCTATAAACTGGGATTTCACTCCAAGGTTCTCTGATGGCACCACTGTTATGCTGGATCTGTTGGTAGTCAGAGAAGTCCTTGGCAGGTGAGGAGGTGGATTTAGACTGACTTTGTCTGCATGATGACTGCTGCTGTTGCTCTTTGCTGTGTGCTATGGGGCAAGATGCAATGAGATCACTTTCCTCAAGCACATATTTCTCCTTCAGCCCAGGAACCACGGTAAGTTTATCTGTGCAGTGTAGCATGCCGCTCTGGTTCTCACTATTAGTGGACTGGCTGTTGCCAACTAAGCACTGTAATTGACTGAATGGATCCTTGGCGGTATTAAGCTCCCTATCACCCTCTTGTATTTCAAATGACCCTTGGTCAAATTTAGAGATGTGACTGATTTTCTTCTGTGTCAGGCAAAGGATATCAAACAGCAAATTGTTAACACTGTCCTGCAGAAAAACCTGGAGGTTTGGTGCATCTTTTCCAGTACCCTCTAGTTCTTTTTTCTTTTTTGCTTTCTCTAAAGCATGCTTAAATAAGCTGTCTGCAACCTCATTTATTAAGTCATCCACCTCTCTTTCGTCCATGTAGGATTTCTTTGGACAAGTAATGCCATCTACTATCTTGTTATGTGTGGCTTCCAGAAGGTGGGCCACACTCCTGTAGTCTTGTGGCTGAGTCAGCACTTCAGCTGCTTCCCTGTGTAGGACCTCAGCAATGTTGGCACGAAACGCTTCAACGCTGGTACTCTCTGCCACACTGCAGTGCAGCGTGAAGGCTGTTGAGGCCTCAGCTGCAGACATCAGACCACGGGATGCTGTGTAGACTTCAGTGGAATCTGCATCAGAATCGCAGCACTCCCCTGACTCCTCTGTTAGCTCCAAAGCTGCTACAGCACCAGCTACCTGAGCCATGCCACACATGGCTGAGGAGAAGGAGTAGTCTCCCCTTTCCTCTGGTTCCTGCAGCTCCTCCTCTGTGTCTTCCTCTGAGGCTGATTCCATGGCCAGCTGTTCTGTCAGCTGCGGGGTAGTAATGGTGCCAATGACACTGGCAGCACAGGCCAAAGCCACCTCTACATGTTTGGATGGGTGTCCTCCATTGTGGTGGGGAATGTGGGTCTGTGTCCCATTCTCTGGCTCCTCTCTGGCTTTGGCAATGATATCCTGGTCAGGCACATGGGACACCTGGGTCTCTGGCCATTCTACAGCCCCATCAGAGCTGTCTGGGCTTTGAACTATAACAATCTTGGGGAGTTCAAAAGAGCAGGTGCGCTGCTGGGAAGGCTGCTTGGTCTTTGCAGGATGACTAGAGAGGGACACACTGACAGCAGCCTCAGAAACAAAGGAGGTTTCATCTTGAGAGAGGCGTATGAAGGCATCTTGCAACACCGACTCGGCCAGATTTGTGGCATAGTGACCAGCTGATTCCTTAGTGTGGAGGCTTCCTCGCCGATGCCCTTCCTTTTTCACCCCAGCATCCTCCTTGTTCTGATGATGGGCCAGCTGTCCCCTCTGACATGCGAGTCTGACACAGTGTTTCTGTGCAGCCTCTACCAAGCTCTCTGCCAGGTCACCACTCTCTGGTTCTGTGAAGAGACAGGGGAATACAGAGAAAGACAGGGAATGAAAAATGTCCACACTGATTAAAAAGCAGCTCAATCAGTTGCAAGTGCCACAGCAAGAGTAGAATATTACCCTGTTTGCTCTTCACTGGATATTGGAGATTGTTTGTGTCTTTTTTGGACCATTAACTTTCCCCATGGACAAAATTCCAGAGAATTATTTCTATCTAACACATTGCATTAGTCACCAGGTTAACACAATGGCATTAATTATATACTTATCTGTCACTATAGACATTTTTCAGTGATTGCTACACAACTGCCTCAGTAGTGTTGCTGCAACCCCAGGGTGAAATATAGGGTTTAAATCTACTCAATATGCTGTATTAGTATTTTTTAAACCTCATGTCTGCTCAATAAAAACAAATGGGACTAGAATAATGTTTACAATATTAAATTGTGAGTTCTAGTTGATGTCAGCAATAATGGCAGAACAATTGACATATTTTTGAACATAACCACTAATTAAAATTCTTTAGTATCTACAAAGTCCATCCACATAGAGCAGAAAACATTTATAGGTAATGATACAAATATGAACATTATATTGATTCTTTGTAGAAATGGCTGTGTTGCATCTTATTTCTGATACAGCCCTGGCAATTACAGTTATAAGGAGCTGAACAATTACTACTATCTACATGGGTGGTTATACTCAATGGACCAGGACATGTGTTGTCTGTTTCTTTAAGCTTTTAAAGATGGCCTTAAAATCTGTATTACACTCAGTTCTATGTATTTTTCAGGTGGTGCAGCCACTTCATCCTGCATGGTGTGTGGTCAAAATGCTCTCTAAGCTTTTCTATGGACAGCATGCTGATTCACGCTGCAAGTAGATGCAAATGAATCACAGGAACACTGTGATGCTGTTCAGGCCGTATCATGTTTACATGCACAGATGTGGGATGAAATTTTTTACTTTGTTGTTTTACACTGGGTCACACAAAGTTCGATGACAGGAAATGCACTTAAAGCAATTGTGATTAACATTAAATTAACATTTATATGAATTCTCAGCATGCATCAAAAGCCGATATATGAATGTAAAAATCTTTTCTTGGAACTATGACTATTCACAATATAAGTAGGATATTTATCCAGATTAACTAACGTGACTTTTTAAGAATTAAAACACTGAAAAATCTATCTGTATCCTGATCTCCTTAAAATTACAAAGTGATAGACTATAATGTGACACATTTTCTTTGCATTTTTTTGTTCTTTTAAGCACACTAGTTCAACAGAACATAGTCAAGGTATTCAACAACACAGTATGTCAAAAATATTGAGAACACCATGAATCAGTTGTTTGTTGGCCTTACTTTCCAACAGTTTTCATCTGACTTTCTTGATATCCTGCCAAATAACACACAAACATGGCTGAAAATAAAACCCCTCCAGTGGAGGTAATGAGGCTCACCATTTCTGAAGCCATCATCCTCGCTGTCATCACCGAGGTGTTCTGAGGCAGTCAGGAAGTCTTCTTCTATGGACGAGATGGAGCGATTGGTATCGTCATCGACCCGTTGCCCTGCTGTTCGGCCATGCTGAAGCTGTTGCTCCTTTCCCCACTGCAGACCAATCAGGAACTTGTTGATATCAAAGATGATGCTGCTAGTTTGGGTGGAGTGTCTCTGCCCTGAACACTGAACCAGGCACACGCCTGTACTCTGCAGCTGCCCGCCCTGAATGGAACAGAATGGATGTACAGATACCTATGATGCATGCACACACAGAAACACATACATACACATTTGTCTTCCTTTTATTCAATGTCCTATTAGCTCATTGGACCAATTCATGCAAGTTTAATCGTCTGTGCAGGCTCCTCAGGCTGTGTATTGAGCCTAACAGTGGTTTTATACAATGATGTATTTGATAAGCTGCAAAAAGTCTGTGAGTGGCTATAAGTTTGTGTTAAGATAAATACCATTAAAATAAGAAAGGGATATATGTATGCTGCAGTAGTTTGTGTGTTTGTATAATTTATGTCAGTTTAAAGTTTTAGTTTCATCCATTGTTCTGTAAGTGTTATTTTCTGTTCATGTACATTCTAATGTCAGTTTTTTGTCACACATACGTCTATGCTACGGAGGATGAGAAAATGTGTTTATTGGAGTGAATGGGGGAGAAATACTAGATAAAATGAATGCAGTTCCTACTCTGGATTTTTTTTGTAGTACAAAATGTTCAAATCTAATCACACAAAATTGCAGTACAAAAAGACCGTTTACTTTTGCCTTGCACTCCAGGCCAGTTCATTCAAAGGATGAAAATACTTGCCAGGATTTAAAGACATCACTACGAACTCACCTGAGAGAGGGAGTGTGGGTGTGTTTGGCAAGCGTCTGAGGCTTCCAGGCCACCAAGCAGTAGGATCTCATTTTCTTTCGGCTGGTGGACAGTCAGTAATTCAACGAGCTTTGGCAGGTCTGAAGACACCGATGCCAATTTCTGCAGGAGACATGCCGAGCACAGACACAATGCTGGATAATAATAATAAAAAAAGCTTTTCTTCAAGCAACTTCAAAACTGAACATGTCAACCCTCTAATTCTGGTTAATGATTCTGAATCCATAGTGAGCTAACTGAGCCCATGTTTATATGTGAAATGCAATTAACAACTGTTCTGGGCTGCTGGAAAGTAGGCAGGAATGAAAACGAGATCGTGCAGGAGGGAAAGGATGAGTGCGGACGAGGATTCTGCTCACCTTGATGCTTTTGTCGTCGCGATAGTCTTTTTTCTGAGGGTCAAGATTTACAAAACAGATCTGAGAGAGACAAAAAGAGAAACAAAGAACATTGGAGTGACAGTGTGTACGGGAAGATTATGACACAAATGCTGAGCAGGAGTGGAGCACAAAGTGGCCCAGATGTCAGATTTGAGAGTGCTATAATGGTAAAGGATACTGCATTGCCTTTCCCATTGCAATTTCTTTGATACAAATCCTACAAACCAGACAGAAGGATAGCTTCCTTCTAAGTGGTTCACCATTTAAAAACTACAGCAGCTGCCTGTCGTGTTTGAATAACCACTATTAGGCACTGTCTCTCATTGACAGAACCCTTTCTAAGAAGACTTTGTTGTCTCTCAGGGGCTGCTAGCAGGAGGTGTAAATCAGCAGTGATTTTCTTTCTGTCTCTGTCTCTCTTTTTCCACTTTTCTCCTCCTCTGTCTCCACTCCTTCACTGTGCCTCTGTCACGCTCTCTGCCTCCTCCTCTTCGCATCTCACCCATCTCCACCTCTGGCTGCAGGTTTAATGGTGTGTGATGGAGTCCTCACGGCAGTGCTGGGAGTCTGGGACTGTCCGCTGGCTGCTGTTTGATTCTACAGCACACAGCCTCTGATCTAAGATGGCATAGCCAACTTAGTCCTGTGTGGGTTAATGGATAAAGCGCGTCACCAACAGCTTTTTAAGGAGGGGGAGGGTCGCTGCAGGGTACTGTGAGGTGATTTGGGAAAAGTGACAGTGCATGTGTCTCAGTCATTTCTATATATAACATCTAAATGCAACCATGCTTGTCATCGCTAATCAAACCAAGTCGTAATGTGAGTCACTGAGGCAGTCTCCATCTTTTCAATACCGTCTCTCTTTTACCTCTACCATCTCCATATCCGCTCTGCCTGCCGCTATCTTTCCCCCATCTCTCCTCTCTAGACCTGCAAAAAATATATATAGTTTCAAATAATCACATCTTGACACATATCGCTGTTTAAAATAATTTCCCTTGAACTACCGGAGGTGTGCTGTTGAGATATATTTTCCATGATTTTCATATTATTTTCCATTTATCTGCGTGGTATACAAAGATTTATTCCCAGAAAGTCATGTCAAGGTATAGAAGGCACAATAAATCCAGAATCAAGGTGTATATTGTTTACTACTTCTTCAAAATCATGTCACATTGTCTGTCTGTTTTTTTGCTCCAGATCTGAAAGTGAAGCAAAACAAATGCTGCAATAAATATGTAAATATATTTTGACGAGTTTATATTTCAAAACAAGGCTGTAATTCTACTACACTTTGCATCTTTTCCTCTTTTTAGAAGACTGGATGGAAGTCTGGGTTTGCTTCATCGAAGTAAAAGCTAAGATTAAGAAGGAACATTACCAGGGAACAACAAAAACGGATCGGATGAGCCAAAATGTCCTTCAACTGAAACGACAACGCGGCACATTCAGAATAGGCCAATTTCCCCCCTCACCTCCAATCTGGTATCCTCCAGTCAAACATAATATTTTCCAAACTATTAAGTCTAATGTGATGAAAATTGCTGCCTGAAAATGGAGTCAGTCAAGGATAAAATACGCAATGTCAGCTTACAATGACAGAATATTTGAAAAGGTCTTATCCTGATCAAACCAAGTGTGCGTGTTTTTTCTCCTCTGCCCTTCATGGACTACACGTGTCACCTATAATGTTTATCGGAATACCAAGAGGCCTGCTCCTTTTGTTACCTTTCTCTCATAATAACGGCAATCTACTCACTGAGGATTTGTTCATTTGCTTGTCTATTGTTCAGATCTTTCTTGTAAGAATAGCTGTTAAATGTCAATGACATCCACATAGGACCAGAGATTATCCTACACCGTTTACTGAAGCCAGAGACAATAGCTTGATTTTGCCACTTGCTGGCCCTGGTAATGGCCTTTAAATTCAGTTTTTACTCATCGTGCACAGTGTTTTCATGGTATTGTTTCTGTTTATTTTGTATCTGGATACAGATATATGCCCTTTATTTAAGTCGTAATGTGCTATGAACAAAGAACCACCTCATCCCTTTGCCTCTACACTACAGCCTGCAGAGTCCTAATTTGCTATCTAAGTTTATTTCTATCCATACCACAACATATAACTAAGAGGTTTGGCACACTTGCTCAGGAGCACCTCGGCAGTGTTAAATTGAACTGATATTGGAAATCATCCCAGAAAAAGCAACGACAAACACCTCCCCCTGAATGCTAACACGCCGCCTGCAGATAACACACAGTTTGAGGAAAAGCGAGGCAAGTGATCCACGATTTTGACCTTGAGAAGGGCTGAAGCAATTTAACCCCATCAGACGGTGAGAGCCAAGAGGCAGTTGTTCTAAATTTGGGAAGCAGAGGACCATCAAGTCATCTCCTTGTCCATGTGTGAGACGAGCCCAGGGACACGCTCTGATTCAGTTTTTCACAGACATACTAAATGATACCAGCTTGCGCCAGTCTGTCTTTGGAGGGCTGGCCATCTAAATATCAGTCGAGGAATATGAAGAGGGAGAGAGGAATGGAAATGCAGAGACAGAGAGGGTGAATAGTGATAGTTTGATGTGTGGATAAATTGATACCATGGAAGCATAGTGATGACTCAAGGATTTTTATATATCACACGTTTTCTTTCTTTTTTTAAGTTTAGTGAACAAAACTGCAAGAAGACTCCGGATCGGATTTTCTGTGAAATCCATTGGCTGTGACCAGCATGCACGCTCCCGAGCTTTTTGCCTGCTGATTCTGAGCCGTAAACACAGCAATAACACTGCAGCTAACGGAGTCCCCTAACACCAAAAAATGACCAGCACAACACAGACTCCAACACAAACTCCACGTAAGGATAAAAAACAACAAAACAGTTTAATGTACTGAAGCCCGTCAAGCCAAACAAGAATCAGATTGATGTCGGGTGAAAACACTGTCAACATCAGAAAGGCTTTAGTCAGGGAGAGACCTCCGCTTTGTTTTGGAACCAACAAAACTGACACAGAGTTGGCTTTTATCCTATTGGACAGGTAAACTTACATTACTGCAAAGCATGTGAAATATATTGGGATGTTGTGCTTTAATTGGCTGAAGTCAGATAACGTTAGCTTATTATTCAGTCTATTTCACTAACCGTTTCGATAATATCCAATAGATACAGATTCAGATTCATTCTTCATTGTCCACGATGGAGAAAATTTGTTTTCCCCGAGCAAACTTCAGCATGGATTATTTGCACATAATAAACATATACATATACCTATGCTGACATTGTTGAGCCTCCGGTAAAGGTAGACAAATAGTTACTGAAAAGCCAGCTAGTGAGCTAAAGCTGACATGTCGGCTAAATGCAGTCAATCTAACAAGCATGGATTAGTTCAACCTCCAGTGGATAATGTAGCAGTAACAGTTTACCTGAGTTTCCAGAATGCTGTAGAAGCTATCTCCGGTGCTTAGGTCTCTGTGTGTCGGATTCTGCTCGCTCATGAGTTCGAGCACACATATGAGCACACACCAGGTTGCAATTTAAAACCTGCACTGCTAGTGGCTGCTGAAAACTACATCTAGCCCCTTTAAGTTGACATGCGGAACAAACAGTAGCAAACAGTTCCTTTTTAACACATCCAGCAGATACAGCCAGTTCTTGAAGTGGAAAAAAAATAGGTGCCAGTACTATCCATTCCCATACATGTCAGAAGTTGCACTCCTCAGGAGCAACTTGGGGTTAGTGTCTTGCTCAGGGACCCATTGGTGGATGTGTCGCAGTGGGAACCTAGGTGTGCTACACCATGCCACTGCTCCATCACCACCCCTATGATATGAAGGGAAATAGAAATTGGCAGGTGACAATACATGATATAAAAATATAATCCAATATAATGCAGTAATGGGTAGCTTGTTTTTTTTATTGGTTTAGTTCCTTTTTTGGGCAATGCACATTTGTTTCTTCTATATTCAAATTGCATTGCATGATTTCTTATTGTAGAAAAAAACCTTTCTTAAAGTAGTTTCATTTGTTGTTTAACATTTCTCATTGCAAGCTGTGCTTCAGAACATGTTTAACAAATGCTTTCAAAAAGTGGTGACGACATTCTGATTCTGACATGTCCCCAGCATCCCCAGTGTAAATGACGAGAGGAGAGGGCAGCGAAGAGTACCAGTAGCTTGGGAGAAGTGCCGGTATGCAAGAAAAAAGTTCAGGTACTCCAAAGACTAAAATTAAAAGTGCCGGTACATACCAGCCCTCTTCAAACACTGGATACAGCACATATTAGCATTCATTTGGAGTCATGTTTCTGGCCACCTCAGGAATCTAAGATCAATATTCACTCTCTATTTAACTCTGCTAAATGCTCCACTGAATTCACCGTCTAGTTGCTAACTTTGTCTGCTTGCTGAGCAGTTAGAATGTGGTTGTCTTGTGGAGCTTTGTTGACAAAATAACTGCCTGCTGCTGTAGCTAACAGTAAGCTGAGCGACCTCAAGGGAATTGCCAGTTGTTGCATTATTGTCAGAGTCGTGGGTTCATCACAAACATACACACTGCATGCAAGGGATCCTCTTCAAATTAATGCTCCACTGTTAATATAAAAGTATTGATTATACCCACTTTAAGATTGTGGTCAGGGTTAAAAGAAAACACGACTGACAAAGCATGGTCCCTGTTGGCATACTCAAATAAGAATGACATCCACCCAGCCAAACATCCTCACTATGACTTTTTGCAGCAGACCCTTATAATTTAAACTGTTTAAACAAACAGCCGTTGCAGTTTTTCTGTAGAATGGTGTATCTAATTGCAGCAGAGATCTGGGTGTCTCTCCACATCATCTCCCTCTCTTCACTAGGTGCTCAGCCAATGTAAATCTAAAGCTGGGCTCAACATCAGCCCAGCCAACCAAAGTGAAACTCAAGGGGACTCTGACCACCTGTGCTGACTAGGACAAGACTGGACAGTTATAACCTTTACAGGAGAGAAATCTGGAGCCAGTCTCAGAGGCAACTGGCAGCAGAGGAATAGAGCATGTTTC